TTGCTCCCTTTGGCTTTTCCCTATTCAGAAATCCTTCTCAGTTCCCAGAAGTTTGACTTTTTCCCCAACTCTTTTCTTAGGTCACTTAGTAAACATTAAGTGCCAACTATGTGCTAGGCACTGTGCTAAGTAAGCAATGGGGATGCAAAGAGAGGCAAAAGACAGTCCCTGCCCTCAAGGAGCTCCCAGTCTAACGGAGGAGACAATATGCCCACAGTGAACCTCTTCCTGACCCTTTGCCAAATCCTTTGCACACCTTCCCAACTCTCTTTCTACAACCACAGAACAAGAAGAACACTCAAACACAGACTTTCCTCTTGTCACACTCAGGACCCCAGGGCCCAGAGAGCCTCAGGGATTTCACCAGAAGGCTAGGAGTAGGCCCCATGACCAAGGGCCTATCCTTGTGCATCTGTGAGACAGCCATAACTGGGGATGGGGGGGGGGGGGGGGGGACTTAAGATGAGGATCACATGACCCCCAAATATCCACCTGTTCTCCTTGTAGCCTGAACTCCCTGCTCCCTGAGTCCGGGATTGTGGCCGACATTGAGCTGGAGAACGCCTTATCCCTGACCCCAGATAGCTTCTATGAGCTGAAGAGTCAGCCCCTCCATTCCAGGTACCAAGGGACCCACTCCCCATGCTTCATGACCTCTGGGCCATCCCTCCCTATGTTCCCTGACCCCAGGCCACCAGGGGTCCAGGCTCCCCCTCTTCTGTCTGTCCCTCCCTGGGCACTGGAAAAGGAATGTGCTGAGTCATCTGTGTTCCGAGTACGATTGGGAAATCTCTGTCCCTCTTGTCCCCATCTCTTTCTCGTTGCCCAATTCCACAGCTCCCACGGGGAGTCCCAGATCCTCGGGTCTGCCTGCTACTGTGGCCTGGCAGCCACTTCTGTCTTTCTTGTTTCCTTTCTAGCCTCCCTTCCCAGGCAGCCCCAGCAGCCTCCTCACAGCCTCCAGCTTCATCGTCTTTAGTCATGTCTTCACGAATCCTCCTCCGCCAGCAGCTAATGAGGGCCCAGGCACAAGAGCAAGAGCAGCGAGAACGGCGGGAGCGGGCGGCCTCCGCCGCCTTCCCTAGCGGGCCAGCCCCTGCGGCCTCCCCAGCCATCTCGGTGGTAGTCGGCGCTAGCCCTGGCGGCCCTTCTGGTGGGGTGGGGCTTGCCCGGCCAGCCCCTGCTCAGGTGCCAGTGGAGGTGCTGAAGGTGAGGAGACTTGTCTGCAGGCTCTCGGAAGGGAGCTCAGCTTGAAGCTAGCCAAGGAAGAGGCTGGCTTTAGAGCAGGGATCTTCCCAGAGATCAATTTCAGGGGGGGAATATGTGAGCTTAGATGAGAAAAGTCACCTTGCTTTTTACTCACTTCTAACTGAAATTAAGCATTTCCTTCACTTATTCTGAGCAGGGGGCCATGCTATAAAGAAGGCAAAGAATGCCTGGCCTCGCTGGGCTTTGAAGGGCCCTTCCAGCTCTGACAGGCTGTTCTCTGACAGCTCTGAGCTTGCTCTGGCAGGCAGAGGAGCTACATGCCAGTCCCAGCCCTGGCATTCGCCAACTTTCTAATTCTGAGCCTCGGTTCTCAACCCTAAAATGAAGGGATGAGAGAAGAGGTGATGGCTAAAGTCCCTTCCAAGTGGAAATAGATAATTCTATGAGGGCGTAGACCAGCTGGGGCCTGGCCTAGGCTCCTAAAGGGGATTCTAGTATTGTGATTGTTCCCTGGCCCCTCTGTCCCAGGTCCAGACACACCTAGAGAACCCTACCCGCTACCACCTGCAGCAGGCCCGGCGCCAGCAGGTCAAACAGTACCTGTCAACAACACTTGGCCCCAAGCTCGCTTCTCAGGCCCTGACACCGCCACCTGCTGAGGGCACTTCAACGGAGAGGTCCCAGCCAGCTGCAGGAAGTGCCCCCAATAGTCCCATGGCCCTTCTCAACATTGGCTCCAGTTCAGAAAAGGAGGTAAGCTGCCCATGGGGCCTGGGGCAGAGTACCTAGCTCAAGCCAAACCTTCCCTTGCCACCTGGTTTTCTCTCTGGTTCACAGATTGATGATGTGATTGATGAGATCATCAGCTTGGAGTCCAGTTACAATGATGAGATGCTTGGCTACCTGCCTGGAGGTCCTGGGGGACTGCAGCTCCCAAGCACAGTGAGCCTCAGATGTGCCCAGGATATGGGGAGGAGGGCTATGGGGATATTCACTCTAAGAGCAAAGGCCTTAATTTGGTCAGGATAAAAAGGAGGCAGATGACACGGGGAACTGTAGTGTGCCCCTTTAATCCCATCCCTTTCTCCCATGGGTGGAGATCAGGGCTGAGTTGTCCCATTTACGAGTGTCCCCTGCCCCCGGGATGGAGACTGGGGACCCTGGCCTTTGGATTCCAATATCCCCTTTAAGGGCTCCTTCTGGACATTGTAGTTTTGCCAGGGATTTGTGGGGGCAGATAGAGGGTGAACTTGGTGGGGGGGAGACCTGGTAAGTCTCATTCCCCACCCCCCCCCCCCCCCAAAAAAAGCTGCCCGTTTCTGGGAACCTGCTGGATGTTTACAGTGGCCCCAGTGCCGTGACCCCAGCTGTCCCTGTCAGCAACTCCTGCCCTGCTGAGCTGACCAGTATCAAGCAGGAGATCTCCGGTGAGCTGTTCTCCTCCCCCAGTCTTCCCTCCCCTCACAGTGCTAGAAAGTCCAGCACTCCAGGAGCCATGACCCAAGTAGTGGGGACTCAAGGGCTGGGGTACGGGGGAGCTTCAAAACCATCTGATGGAGACGACAACTGGGTGGCTGTTGGGAGGGGAATCAGAGGACAATGTTTGTGGACTAGCGTCAGGGCTGGGAGCTGGGGAGCCGTGGGAGGGGGGAAGTGTGGCTCCCTTCCTTGACATGGCTCCTCTCTGTCCCTTCCCTGCAGAGAACGAGGCCAAGGCCCTTCTAAAGGAACGTCAGAAGAAGGACAATCATAATCTTAGTGAGCCTTGGGGGAGATGGGAGCTAGGGATTCCTGGGGCCTGGGATTCTAGGGCTGGCTCCCTCTCAGACAGACCACATAGCTCTGCTTTTAACCCTTTTCCCAGTTGAGCGGCGGAGACGGTTTAACATCAATGACCGGATCAAGGAGCTGGGCACCCTGATCCCCAAGTCCAGTGACCCGTGAGTCCTTCTGGGGATGGAAGCATGCCTTCTCAGATTTTCTCCTTTTAATCCAAAGAAAGGCCCTAAGCCTCCCTGGGCAAGTAGCTTTCCTCCACCCATGAAATGAGTGCTGGGACCTGACAGTATCTACTCATTTCAGAGAAAACTAGGGTGCTGAAGGAGAGCAGATTTGGAGGCAAGATCTGGGTTTGATTGCTGACTGCTACCTGTGACCTTCAGCATCTTCTTCCCTTTCTCTGTAAAAAGAGGGTTTCTTTAGTCAGTGTTGGCTGTTCTAGCTCTGCCCAGTCTCCCACTAGCAGTGCCAGCCTTCCTATTGGTCCTCCCAGAGCCTAGGTGCTGGGGGGAGGGGAACGGCAGAGACTTGGGCACCTGTTCTTAGACTCCTGCTCCATGGCCTAGGGAAATTCGATTGAACAAGGGAACCATACTCAAGGCCTCAGTGGACTATATCCGAAAACTCCAGAAGGAGCAGCAGAGAGCCAAGGACTTGGAGAACCGCCAGCGAGTGCTGGAGCAAGCTAACCGAAGCCTGCAGCTCAGGGTCCAGGTGGGCCTGCCCACTTCCCTTCTTTTTTCCCTCCAGAAGGGGAGGGAAGAGGGGAACATGGCTTTTGAAGTTGGGGGAGAAGAAAAGCTTCCAGAGTTCAGGATGTTGGCTTTTACCTGGGGAGTGCTGAGGTGGGAAGCAAAAGTCTGAAAGAGAAGGTGCACAGGGGTTGGAAGGTGGACCTGGAGTCAGGAAGACGAGAGTTAACAACAATGGTGCTTCAGACACTATGTTTGTGATCATGGACAAGTCACCTAACTATTCCCCTCAGTTTCCTTATTTGCACAGTGGGGATAACTGTAGCCCCCCCCCCCCCCCAGGGTGGGCAGCAACAAAGAAATCGACCTCTGTCAAGCACTTTGGGGGCAGGGGGTGGCAGCGGGTGGCAGCTTCCTGAGTCGGCCTTCTAGCCTTGTGCCCCTTGCAGGAGCTGGAACTCCAAGCCCAGATCCACGGCCTGCCCTTGTCCCCTGCCCCCAAGGCTGAGCCAGCTGAGTGCAGTGGCCCACCCCCCCTGCCGCCCCCGCCGGAAGCTCTCCTAGATCTGCACTTTCCCGGGGATCCCCTGGGGGAGCTGGGCGAAGATCCCTTCCAGCTCGGCCTGGAGGACATTCTGATGGAGGAGGAGGAGGCGGCGGGAGCCCTGGGCCCGAGCCCCGCGGCGGGGCTGTCCCCTCTGCGGGCCGCCACTGACCCCTTGCTCTCCTCCGTCTCCCCGGCCCAGTCCAAGGGGAGCAGCAGCCGTCGGAGCAGTTTCAGTATGGAGGAGGAGTCCTGATGAAGCCCCGCCTCCCGGGAGCCCCCTGGCGCAGACGCATTCCTTCCTTCCCACTTCCCCCTCCCGTGGGTGAGGGAGAGGGGCGGGGCCCGGATGGAAGAAGGGGTGCCTCCTTCCCCCCCTCCCCCCGCGGCCCCCCCGCAGCTAGAGCCGCGGAAGCCCCGTGTTGACCCCCGGGGCTGCCAGGCTGCAGGTTAGACTGGGGTGGGGTGGGGGGAGGGGCTGACAGCCCGCGGGCTCCGCTTCTCTTGGCAGACAATAAAACACGGCTCAACTTTGTTTAAAGCGCTTTGAAGTCGGCTCCATCTTTTTCGGAAGGGGGGGCGCGAGAGAAGGGTGCTGGGGAGTGCGGCGCGCTGCACGCCATCCCAGCGCCCTTTTGGGCCTGGAAGCACCAGCAGATAGGAGGCCAGGGCGCCCCCCCCCCCCCACCAAAGGCATAAAGCCGGAATGGGGGAAGGGGGCTGGGCGGGGGAGGGCACGACGGGACTTCCGGCGTAAGGAGACGTCGGCCTTCCCGGCACCCTCTCTTCCCCCCGGGAGCCACCAAAAGCGGAGTAGAAGGTGGGGAGAGAGGGAGAGACGTCGAGTCCGTCGTCTTGGTCCGTCCCTCCTTGTAACGCCCTTCCCTTTCTCACCCCCTGCCATTGGTAGCGTCCCACCTTCCCGGAGTCGTAGCCCAGCTGAGCCGACTGCGCCTGCGCGCACGGCGCCAGGAACATGGCGCAGGCTCTTTCCGAGGAGGAGTTCCAACGGATGCAGGTGGCTGGAGGCGAGGCGCGGGGGCCCGGGGAGGGCTAGGCGGGGTTCTGAGGATGCCGGCTGGAAGGAGGGGGTGGGGGGCTGCCTAGGAATTTTGCGAGAGGAGCCGGTAAGGGACTGGGGGGAGGGGAGCGGGATCGATTGCTTGGAGAGGTATATTCTGGGGGCGGGGCCGGCAAGGCCTAGAGAGTGAGGGGCCAATAGGGGTTCAGGGAGGGCGGGTACAGCGGGGCTCTGAACGGAAGGACGACCAATAGGAATCCAGGGGAAACACTGAGAGGCGGGGCGCCCAGTGAGGGTCAGAGGAAGGCAGGGTCCAGGAGGGCACTGAGAACAGGAAGAACAAATAGGGATCCAAGGAGGGCATCAGAGGGAGGTGGGAGGACGCATGGGACCGGAAGGGGCCACAGAGCAGTACAAAAAAAGGGGTCTTCAAATTGTGGAGGAAGAGCGCCCCAAAGAGGCCTGAGGGGGGGGGACCCCCCTCCAGTGGCTTCGTGACCCTGGACAAGTCCCTGCTTCACCAGCGAATGGGGGAAGGGCGCTGCTCTGCCGATTTCAAAGGGATGGGGGGAGGGGCAGAGAAACCCGGGAGGGGGGGGGAAGGTAAAACCTGAACGGGAAGGAGGAAGTAATAATGACGAAAGGGGGGGACTCCTGCCCTGCCCCCTCAGGCCCAGCTACTGGAGCTTCGGACCCAGAACTACCAGCTGTCAGATGAGCTGAGAAAAAATGGTGTTGGTGAGGCTGCAAGGGAAAAGGGAGCATTGGGGCTGGGGCGGGCGGAGGGCTAGATAGAGGTGCAGCCCGGGGCTCCCCAGTGCCTTCTCTGAGCTTCGATGCTGCTGTGGGACCAAGTGGATTGAGGAGCAGCTGCAGCCCCCGCAGCCCTGGACAAACAGCCATTCCTGTTCTCTCCCTCTGCAGAACTCACCTCCCTCCGGCAGAGAATCATGTTCCTGGATAAGGAGTTTGCTCGAGCCCAGAAGGTGGCCCTGTCACCATGTGTCGCCATGCTCCCAGCCACCACTTGGGGGTCTCCCTGGACTCCCAGCTCTCATTCAGTCCCCCACAGTAGCGTCTGCTCACCACCACCACCCCAGTCTCTATTTCAACTTCTCTCTACTTCAGTATTTTCCCCTGAGCCTCACTCCCCTCCTCTCCCCGCTTCTCCCCTTCTTCCCTAGTTCTAGCCCTCACTGGTTTCTCCTTCAATTTCCCTTCTCTCCCTCTAAAGTTTTTGCTTCATTTTCCCTTCCCTTAAACTGCCTCCTCCTGTTCTTGACCCTTAGCGATTTCTCTTGTGACTGTTTCTTGTCTTGTTTCTTTCTTGTCTCATAGGCCCTGAACAAGAGCAAGAAAGCCCAGGTGAGGAGGACTTGAAGGAGCAGGAGTTGGGCAGCTCTCGGGGACTGGTTAGACATAGCTGATTTCAGCGCAGGGACATTATTAGCTGTTGCCTGGAGGAGAAACCTGGGTCCTTGGACTCACTGTGTAATGTTAGACCAGGCCTTGGCCCCTCTGGGACCTCAGTCTCCTCCATGAGTAAAATATTAGAGGGTGAGGGGGTTTGGACAAGGTTAATCTATAAACACCCTTCTGGGTTTGAGATTCTGGGATTCCTGAGTTCTCCTTCTCTCTTAGAAGAAAGTTCCCCTCCAGACACTGCCTTGAAAGTCCCTCTAACACTCAACCCCATGAAGTGAAACAAAGGCTTTGTAGAGCTTACGGGGGAGACTCAGGCCCCCTGTAGATGTCAATGCTAGGAGCTCACAGAAAATACTCTAGGGAATCCCTTAGATCTC